CGGAGCGCTTCAAACGCACCTGAGGCAGTTGAACTTATGAGTTGGTTTAAAGTGTGCATCACCACACTGGTCATCCGTCATTTATTTTAAAAAAATGGGACAAGAATTTAATTTTAGGAAAACAAGTATTGAATTTTACAATTTAACGCATTGTTTACTGCCTACTCTTTTTAACGGCACGGTATACATTGTGAAATATAACTTCAATAATGCTGAGATATTTGCAAAACTCCGGACCGCAGGTGTATGCGGTGGGGAACGAACGCGCTATTGTCCTTTCCGGGGAGTAACGCGTTCACCACCACACCATGCGGGTCTCTCGTTTCGCCTGTCTCTCAGCTAGTTCTATCGATCAGTGCTATCAGCAATCACCTAACTTCCTACAGTCTACCTTCAATCACTATTGGCCTCAGCTATCTTCTAAATGTAGAAGTGGTGACCAGTGTATTTCTTGCACAACAATTGCACCACTGTGCCCAGCAACGTATGGATCTACGCCTGTTCCTTATCTGCCGTTACTAGCACGTTATCCTCGATTTCCGTCAATCCGTTTTGCCTTCGGTATACTCACGTCTCGACCAATCCAATAATTTGAGGTGCTTTTAATGCACTCACGATTCTTCATTATTCTAGCGAAATGCGAGGTATATAAGAGTTTTCTAACCACGAACGTTGCATTCCTTCTGGAGTGAAAACACCATAGTCTTCAAGAGAAAGGTAAAGCGAAGGACCCGCATGGTTTGATGATGAACGTTTTAGCCCCCAGAGGATGTAATAGCGCATTCGTTTCCCACCGCAGACACATGCGGGCGGTCCGGAGTTTCGCAAATATCTTAGCTTCATTGTGGTATTATCACGGGTAATACCCTGCCCTGAAAAATTGTAATAGGCAGCAAATGAGAGTTAACATCATCATAGTACTGTTCTCATCATCAATACCTTCCTTGTTACTCTCTACGTAAAAAAAGTAGGCCAACGAATTGTCGCTCATGCATGTAGGTCAACAAATTGTTCCAAATATCCGTCTATTATTGCATTTTCATAGTGGAGAATGTTCGTGCAGCCAATGAGATGATCGGAAAGTAGATGAGTCGTATATGACTCTCAGTGTTATGAACGTGGTTAACGCGACGAGATAAATTGAGCGTCGTTTTTCAAGCTGGAATAATCTACTCTTAGAATAGATCGACTAAGTTTTCCACATGTATTTCTAGGTCAGTATGAAACCAACCTCTTATTACCAATTATTCAAGCACCAGTAGGACAGTTCTATGGTAGCTTCTATGGTATTTTATGTCAAAAAAGTGGTGAAAAAGGCCAGTGAGAACTGTTTCCATCACGGACTAATAGGAGCTGCAAAGGTGCTAGTTCTAAAAAATACGAAGCAAAAGTCGAAAAACAAAAGCAAAGAACAGAGAGTAGGAAAAAGAATTGAAAAAGAATAAAACAGGAACTGCAACTACGTTTATTTCCATCAGAAATCCCGTATCATCGCTAGACGTGGATAAAGGCTAATATCGAAGCAATATAAAAGAATAAGTTTCCACAAAATTTCTCTGGACTGGTTATTTTTGTCTCATCCCAGCAGTTTTCCAGCTTATTCCACGAAATTTCTCTTCGAAGAATCTCTGCTGCAGGCTTTGCAAGGCATTTTACGTGTGTTGCGTAGAATCCAGGTTCAATTTTTTCAAACTTTTTAGTAAAATAAAAAAGGATAGAGCGCTCGGCGTTGATCAATCCCTATGGGATGCGCCATTCACTCTTCATTAGCGTTTAAAGGTGACTGAATGCATATCTGGCCTTTACAATGACTCGCGGTGGACTACCGATGTATCGAGCCAGCGCTGCTATCCTCGCAGACAAGTCTGATACCAATTTGCCGACCCCGGAGCGATGGAAGGCTTGGTGGACCATGGGCGCCGAAATCGATTCCACGTGTGTTGCAGGGCACCTCCGACCACTGCGCCGCACACGTCGCTATCTACTAACCTCTTAGTAGTGATAGAAATACGACCTGAACCCCAAGTTTGTTGGGTGCTTTTAAAAGTTGTTTGCTACTACCTACCGGAGAAAATATACAGTCTCGGTCGATTTTGAAAAATTATCACCTTTGATGACCATTTAACGTAAATTGATGGCATATTTTGCTTCTGAACACATTCCATGCTATGCCAGAGATTTACGCATAATATAAGAAATATATAAGTACACGTAATTCTATTAGATCTTTCAGATCAATCCTAATTTAGTTTTTCCAAAATCTGAACTTCCGTTTGTAAGTGTGGATTCGGTTTATTACATCTTTCTCGAGGTGTTCGTCGATTAATTGCAAAATCACTTTCTGAATGCAGAAACGGTAGCAAATGTACACAGTGGAAACAAGAAAGCACTTTAAGAATGTTCTCTTGAAATTAGGAAAAAACAACTTATGATTCAGCTAGCAATAAACCAGCTTCAACTCCCTAAATGCTGAGCACTCGTGTTCACGCCTGCGCGCTATGAGATGGGATAAAATCTGGGTTTCCGTAGAGAATCAGTGGAGCGCAATCAAGACATAGTAACCACGACACAAACACGCATCTTGTTCTCCACCTATTACACAGTAACATTTCCTACATCACCGTTTGCACAAACGTAGCGACCGCCGAACATGTCGAGTAATCACTTAACAAGAAAACGACAGAAAAAAGGCAACATATGCCTGTTAAATAAGAAGATTTTTATCGTAAGTGGAGATAAGATCTCTGTAGCGCACTACGTATGGTGGACGGACACTTAGATAACGCATAAATCGGAGGAAGACTCAGTTTACGAAAAAACGAATGTCCGAAAACGAACAGAGCAAACGGAAGGTTCTCTGATTAGAAAGGCCATATTGTGCTTATACCTTGACCGTTGAATAAGCACAAAGAACATGAAGAAAGAATTAGGCAGAAGAAGGAAAGCAAGTTGGACCGCATTCGGGCCTCTCAAATAGGCTATCGGCCAACTAAGGGACACTAAAATCCGCGGTCACCTTTTCGACAGTCCTCTCAGTGCTCCGTTATGCAGCAGAGACATGGGCTGATAGTTCAACCACGTCAACAATACTGTGCACTATCCACAAAGCGCTTGAACGATGACTGTTGAAATACAACCGGTGCACACCATATCTAACCGCGATGTGAAGCTCTGATCTTTGAGATTTATCTCATCTCCGAGACCCAGAGGAATACAAATCGATACCAAAGCGCATATGGGTTGGTTATATAATAGGGAAAACAGACAAAAGATGGATAAAAAGAACTTTGGAGTGGACTCCACGAGGATGCAGGCGTGCAATAGGACGGCCACCTACGCGTTAGACGCACGTGTTTGTAGTAGACATAGTCAGCTGCACTCGCAGCTGCAATTGTCTCACAGGTCAAGGCATATGTCTCACAACAACCACTATGCTCGGATCAAACTTCTGCCATGGACAACGATTTTGAGGCAACGAAACGATTGGGAAATGGGCTGGGATCCGCCAACTCGTGATGGGCAAGCCGTCGAGTATTCAAGTAGGTGAGAGTGATGTCCGAAAATAAATTATTGGAGCTTCTATTTGAGGCATAAACGTAATGGCAATGATTGGTGGCAGTCGCTGTTCCTTGTCATCCTTCCTATTTGTGCGTAATCTTTGTCATACTATATGATGTTTAAGCAGTTCGAGCACTCCTTCATGAGTACCATAGGCTATTGAATCGAGAAGCAACAGATATTTATGGCTCCTTCGTGTTATATAAAGAGGTCGAGGATGGTTTTCATATCGACCATTCGACACAATTGTGTAAAAGGTGGTAATGTAGAAAGACTTTACCAGATGCAAAGTGACTTTTTTCCCGTAAATAAAGGATAAAGCTCCCGGCTTTGATCAATTCCTGAGGGACGCACCAAGCATAATTCAATAAGCATCATTTTGACATAATTAAATGAATATCTGATCTTTACAATAACTCACGATGGCTTATCGATGTATCGAGCCAGTGCTGCTGTCCTTCCAGACAAATCTGGTATCAATTTGCGGGCCTCGGAGGGATGGAAGGCTTGATGGGCGCCATGGGCGCGGGATCTGTTCCACATGTGTGTTGCTCGCTGACCATAGCGCCACACGCGTGTTATCCGTTGTTTAAAGAGATGAATTTTTTCCTCGATTATTTGGCACTGCCTGGTCTTGACATATTCGGAATAAAAAATATCATTTAGAATAGTTGTGTCTAATTCCTAACTCCTTAGTTACTTTGATGATTGGGAGATGTTTGTCACTTCTCGAGTAAGCCGTTTCAAGCGTTTGTGCGTTAGCTAATCACCTCGCACACCCGTTATTTTCAACTAGTATTAAACTAAGACATTCTGTATATTAAATGGACAAAATCAACTTCTACCTCGACATGAGCTTTTACTTGTGTTTATAACGAGATGTCGACTTAATCGACCGTACTCTAATAACAACGTTGAGTTTTTCTTGATTGACCGACATATCTCTGTTTTTTCCTTTATGTAGCTCGATAAGTAGATTCCATGCAAATTCGTCGCTCTTCGCATTGCCGACCTGCGTCCACATTTCGCTTCACCGTGGTTTCAAAGGTTGAACGAGCTGAGTTGCAAAACTCTGCCTCATCCAGCATTCTCGTTAGACCTTTTGCTTACAGACCACTTTTTCTTAAAGTATCTCTCCCTATACAACAGAAGCGAATAATTTCACTTCCTATAAGAAAAACTTGTTGATTTTGACGGTTTTTCTTCTGACCAACAAGACTTATTCTAGGCTCAGATGTAACACTTTTAAGGCACAAAGTTGAAATCCTGCAATAATTTCAAGGCAATCTAGTATATTATAACTAATAAGAGGGAGATTAAATGACAAGAGTACACTGTTAATAAGGTATGAAGACATGTGTAAGTGATAAGTGATAAAGTACAATCTGTGTGACTCAGTTGCACACCACATAAGAAGTCGAGTAATGCTTAATTCAGTCGAGTCAGTTCAGGTATCTTGCCATCGGTGTTGCCCCGTAACGAGTGAACGCAGACTCATGAATGAACGAGAATTCACAAAGAGTATGCCAAGCGCCGTTGATTTCATGGGAATATAACCAGTAGCCATGATTAGAGAGAAGTCGAAGCAACGTAGCTGTGTCATATGGCGTTCCATGGATCTCGACCATGATCTTAGACGGAAGTGTAAAATTGCGAAATTATCCAAAATCTCTATGCTGTATAAATGGCAATATGTGAAATTATAAAAATATATAAAGCAGACAATGTGAGGAACCAGTAATAGAGGGCAAAAGACGATGTGTTCAACGTTGATCAATCTCTAAGCAGAGCATTCAAATTCTTTTGAGATATGGAGAGGTGGCAATATGGACACTTGCCCTACATAATAACTAGCTTGAGCACGTCGATGTATCAAGTCAGTGTTTTTATTCCCCCAGACAAGTATGACACGCAATGACCGAGTTCAGTAAACGTGAAGCTCGGTTTGCATCGCTTAGAAAATTAAGCCAACGACCTCGAGTTGATAGTATAATAAATATATAGCATGAAACATAAAAAGGGAAATAAAGCAGTTAAGTTATAGACGCTTGATGTATAACTCACTAAAAATTAAAACTCATTATTTAAGTCCTCAGAAAATACAAGACTTTCCAGAAATTTCATAAAGGCTGTGGAATTTTGGAGATGCACGTTTCGTTTCCTTTCCAAAACCATGTTCAGGTTATAAAACTGAAAACGAAGCTGTAATAAACTTATCAAATACGTGCTTGATTGAACGCCACCAGCTTTAACGAGCTATGTCGGCTCCATTACAACTTTCTTCGTTTCATTCTTGTGCGATCGTTCTTCACAGTGAAGTTATGCTTTGAGTAAGGTGATGTTCATGAGCTCCACTTTATTATCCACAAATCATTTCCAGCGGCGAACCAGTTGATAGCAGGCATAAACCCATCGACCTATCGCGTAAGTGGTGGGCACGGAAGACGCTCGGTCTCCACTCCATCTTTCTCTTGGTTTCTTTGTAATCTGTCATTCTTATTTTAAGATCAACGCATCTATATTTCGCTATCGACCTGTACATTTCTTAATCTCAAAGGTAGGAGATATTTTGAAGATCTTAGCTGCGGAACCTTTACGGGTCTCCCTTATTATGACATTTCTAACCGATCAATCGTGAGGCCACATTGCGTATCCCAGATGGGGAATAAGGTGTTAGCTGCCATGTAAACACGACTTTGTGATTCTTTAAGACACAGGTTGGTGCTGTGAATGAACTCTCTGTTAACGTAACGTTGATTTGGCACATTCTTTTTGCGTGTACGTAGACGTGCTCATGCATGCTTGGGTACGTGTGTTGTCATTTATGTAGACCTTATTCTATAAATCCATTCCTCCAAAAGCCCACAGTCAAGTGAAGTACATGGGACGGGGTTAGAAGTCGCTTGCAACAAGCAGTTTTACTTCTATTTTGGGTGGGAATTAACTGCTTCGTTATCGCTCTGACAGGCGCTAGAATGAGCAACCTATTATTTGAGGCTACTTATGATGTTAGCAAAAAATTATTCTTTGAAAGATGAGGCAGTGCGGATTTACGTCAATGATGTCACTGTCTGCACCAGTTTGGCTATGCCCACTTACTGTTTTGAAAAACTAACAACTCGAATAGGAAAACTGAAGAGATTTGGATATATATCGACCTTCACAATTATTTTTGGCTATGCACTTGCATTAAGTTATGGCTAAAACTTAGGTGAAGCGTTCTACATGGAATTTTAACGCTTAGATTTCTCATGACCGCATTTCGACGCTATTATGGACCACTTAAGGGCTTATGAACAGCAATGAAGAACGGCAAGGTATCCATGAGTGCTGCTTTAGTCTCTTCAACAACCATTTGCTCCTGATTCGTTTGGAAGTCAAGAAAAATGCAAGTGTGCCGCAACGATTTACTCTACCGCTCGTAAACAATTGCACAACTCTCTCCGAAACCGATAAGAACCAAACACTTGAAAAACAAATCATTTGGCTTCATGCAGCTAACAGAATTCAGTGCCCTAATCAACCAAAGATTAGAAAAACCGTGTTGTTGCACAAAAGTGGACACCTACACGACATCCACAACTATCTACTAATCTTCGCGCCATCCGTCATTCATAAACTCTTCACGCGATTCGTCCTCAACAAGACTAGTAAAACCTAAATAAGGAAAAATGTGCTAAAAAGTTGGGGTTTCGAAAACGTTTCAGGTTGGTAGATCACATCGACACGATTACGACAAGTCATCGAACTATCGCTTTCATCGACCCAAGGAAGACTTTCTGTTGCATGTTTAAATCTTATTTACTGCCTATTCTTTCTGAAAAGCAAAATGATACGTGCAATACAGCCACAGGAGGAATGTGATATTAGTTGGGCTCTGCACCTCAGTTGGGCTTCGAAGCTTGAAATCCCTTTTTCGGTGGCCCACATACTCTCCGCTACACTTACCATCCTTGTCATTGCATTTCACATAATACTCTGCCATGAAAAAAAAGAACGGACAGTAAATTAAAGTGTTAAAGGCAGTGTGATTTCAACTGCATCTCCAGCTTAACTGGGATTGATACCGATTTCCGCTCTCCATATTGTTCTCGTTCATCATCATGGGTGAGTGCTAATAGCACCACTGACGTGAAGAGCTGGCTGGGAGAAAAACAATGCAAGGGCTTCGATCGGTGTAGTGGATAGCACGTGAGTCGCGTTAAAGGGAAGTAGCAGGTTCGAAACCTATTTGAGGCCTCGAGTTTTGCTCATATCTCAGCACCTTTGTTGTTGCTTTTGGTTTGTTAGGAAAAAAAAGTATTTACAGAAGTTCTGGGTAGCAAGGGGATCATAGCTCAATGTATAAAGATCCACTAAAACCTACATACAAATTTCGCGTACTGATTATACCACTCTATAGCGATATCAAGAACGACGTCAAAATAGGAGTTTGACATGGAAAACCATTTAACTAAGTTTATTTGCAGCCACGCTTGAGAGAGTCATATGATGATTGGAACAGGAGAGCAAAAGTGGTGAAAGTTTATTGTCGGCAATTACACCATCTTGGCATGCTAATAAGATGGTTCCTATGATATCACCCATTAGCTTGGAGAAGCCAATGCTCACCCAGTTTGATAACATTTCTGAAACAATTCGCTTTTGATTAAGCCTCACACAAGCGATGTTGATGAGGAACGGGTTGGTTTCCTAATCCCCACTCACGCTGGTGTGAATATCCAGTAATGCTTTACCTACGCCTTCCTAAGTTGTGAAATAAATGTGATGAGCAATTTAGCGCGATATTTGAACACGAGGAAGCAAACAGCATGGCGAGCTTTCAAGACAATCGAGAATGTAGTGAGGAGAATGAAGAACACCCGATTCCGCGCCTACCGTTTCCAATCAGCGGCTCTTCTTACCCTGACATATACGCCCGAAACCACTACGTAGGCTAGATGAAATGTCACTCAGCATTGTCGAATACGTAGCCATAAAAACGATGTTCAATGTACCAACTTACACAACCAGAAGAAGGAATTTGAACTTCCAATCTATGTCTACGTTGAATGATTTCATGCCCACTCAAAATATCGAAAATAAGGTGGTTAGAATAAATGTTGCCTGTAAACGATAAACAATGGCAAGTAATTTGAAAGACATCGTTGTAGCGCTCTGATGGTGGAGGGCTGAGTTCTTGGCGTGGCTGAAGTGTTAGCTCACGTCCCTACTGCATAACAGAGCGCCTGTATTCAGTCGAAAAGGTAAGCATGCATTTTGGGTCCTTTTGCTTTTCGGTGGTTTTTAAGAAAAGGCTTAACGAAACCCATGCTGTTTCTCTCATTTTAGTTTTCCATCCATGTTCCTATTGGTGTTAACTGAAAAATCAAGGAGCTCGTATTATGTACCCTCTCTAATCAAAGAACCGTTCCATTTCTCCATATTAACACTGCGAGATTTTGAGAGCTAGGTATTCTTCCGATCCATGGAATTCCTAATCCTTTTTTCTTCTTTCTTTAATGACTAAGTTAGTTCACTGACAATCCTCGAAAAGACGTCGATGTAGCCAGCGAAACTCAGAATTGACAAGAATTCGTTTTCAATACGAGTACCATGCTCGGTCCAATCGTATGACAGCATTGCCTATTGTAATGTAGCAGTACCAGCGTTGAACATTAAATGCCTCTTTGTAGGTCTCTGCCTATGCTGATGGTAAAGATTTGATGGAAAAGGTGTATGTTAGTACAGCGGTAACTATAACAGTCATCTAGAGTTCTTATGCAAGGCAGACTCAGTTCTTGGTCAGTCAGAGATAACAGGATTGCGTTCGGTTCTGCACTTTCGTTGTTTTTTTTTACAGTCGACAAAGTTTAGGACAAGTGCTACGTAGTATCTCCGATGGCCATCTGTGACAGCAGTACTGGCAGGATACGATCTTTGTAGAAAAATTCCCTTTAGAATTCTGTTTGCGGAATCGACTATGCCTCATCCAGATTCCTTGATATACGTCATGGGATTGTCTTAGTGAAAAAAGCAGAGTGGGCAACGAGCATTTTAGCCGGTAGTTTTGAAGACTCTAGGTTACACGATCACGTGGAGTTTGCAGCTGGGTACTCAAATAAATTGCGAAAATCAGCGTCTGCTGTTATTGTTCTGGCTTGATAGATGTGAAAAAAGAACCAGTCTCCATGCTAAGTTGTGGGCATCTTTCTTTGAAGCGACTCCAATGAGGTCTTTTGCAACTTGAGATGTGTAGTTTCACCTCCAAACCTTCGATGACACGATGACGGGTGTTCGAAATCTAAACCTGGTTTATTTCAGCTTAACTTACTTGTAGTTTATTGGATTCATTAGGTTATCCTAGTTAGTGGTTGCCTCGAGTCTTTGCTTCAGGTATAAATCGTAAAATATGGATCGAGCAGAATTTGCCATACGGCAATTCATGGTAAAGGTTTATTGTTAGCTGGGCTTCTGGATAGAAATTTCGAATTCTTTATCACACTGTTGAAGATAATCTCCCCGCTATAGTCGCATTCCGGCACGCATGAATATGTCCTAGTCATGGTTGTTTCCTCTTCCTCCTACTCGTTTACCAAGCACTCCATTACTCCCGGCTCAAGAAATGGTACCAAAATCGGACTTGTCCGGGAGGATAAAAACACTCACTTAGTAGATACATCAACGATATGTTGCAAATCATTATATGGACTACGATTAATTGAATATTTCTAGAAACATAGGCTAATAAAATTATTGAATAAACATAGAAAACAAAAAGCAAAAACAACATAAGCAACAAGAAAAAGAGCAAAAATAAAAAGCAAAAAACTGAATAACAATCATCAGCGTAGGCGTAATAGAAGGACAAATCTCGGCGTTGATCATAGGGATGCGCCATGCATTCGAATTCATTAACCATTGTTTGGAACTGATTGAATGTATAAGCATAATATTTCATATAAATATCTTCATCAACTTTATGTTAGCTCAATAATCAGAGGAGATAGTAAGAAATTTCTTTACTTGGAAAAGAAATACGAACAATAGAAAAATAAAGATGAAAATACCTGCGCTGGTGTATACTCAAGAAGAAATGGTGGGATTATTTCAAACTCAGCTCCTGGAATCAATTTCTCTTGATCGATGATAGTGGATTTTTTCTAAGTATTCTTTCTCTGATTCAAAATAAATTTTTCAGGCTGCCTTAATTACTCAATAAACTATTATCCCGTTAAATATCGTCGTCATTTATTGTGCTGTACTTTTGTGGACGAACAGAACACTTGACGAAGATCTTCTTCTACTTGTTCTCCTTCTTAGGTATCAGTTCGCAATAGATTTCTTAAGAGCTATCGTGTGTGTTCTTAGTATGGTTTTATCAATTAACCATTTTCTACGCTTCTGTACAGTAGTTACATTCGAGTCTTTTTAAAAATGGTATACTAATCTCACCCTCAATATCCACTTTTAGAAGTTCCAGTTCTGATATGCTTTCGAGTTTCATGAGATAATCTAGGGTGTACATGTTTCTAGTTTCATCCGTGGTGTTACTTATTGTTGCCTTTCTAGTTTTTGTTCGAATTTTTTTCAAGATTTCTTCCGTCTTTGGCGATTGTTCATTCTTAAGAATAGAATCAATTAGTTGGTGACTTGATTGTCGTTACAATCATTGAAATTTTAATAATACCCATCTATTTATTTATTTACCATGTCGTATCCATAAATACTACAGCGGCTATTAGTTATATACTGTAGTTCCCGCTCAAATGTAACTTCATTGTATAATCCAAGCGATACCAGCTTGCATTGTAAAGGAATTCTGTAACAAAAGAAATTCGTGGAAGTGAAAGATTTACAGTGGCCTTTGTCATACTTTAAGAACAAAAAACCCTGTTAACATCGAAACGCACCTAAAAGGACTGCATATCCACTTTCCGCCATCATTAGTGGTTCCCACGCGGACCAGTTCTGGGCAAAACACCTGAGTGGAGTCACTCTTAGATACTTAAAGTTAAATGAGAGTAAAAGTGGAAAGGATAGTAAAAAAAAAAGGAAGAAGCTCTCTGCGTTAGTCAATCCCTGAACGATGCGCCATGCATTCGACTTCATCAAGTATCGTTGGAGGTGACTGAATGTATATCTGTTCTATGGAATGACTTGCGGTGAAGTGGTGATGTATCGAACCAGTGCCGACATATCCTCCCAAGTCTGGGGTACCAATTTGCCGACCCCGGAGGGATGGAAGGTTTGGTGGGCCACAGGCACGAGGATCGATTCCACGCGTTTGTCGCAGTGGCGCCTCCAACCACCGCGCTATAGGCGCCCTTTTAAGGAAATGTTGGATATTTGTAGCTACAGAAGTAGTCGGCGCAGTAATAATTGCCAGCTAAAAATAATCGTGAAAAATTATACAAAATTTTTTGCATGACCCGACATCACGTGTGCCACAATGTGGGGATTCCAGCATTTCTTGCATTCATTTCGTTTTTTCGTCATCTGCTATTTGCAAACGTTTTCGAACTCCTTTTAAGGAAATGTTGGATATTTGTAATTATCTTGGATACGAGTTAAGCTTCCGTTTGAGGAATTTTCCGCATTTATGACGAATTCCGTTGAAGTACTGATCAAGTTGACTGTCTCTGGAATCCTGAGATAACCATGATGTGGCGCAAACATATGGACTACAGAGAATGCGCTTGTAAAAAAACAGGCCTAGTACAACATTCCTAACTCCGGAAAGATAGACGGTTCGTGAGCTCGGGGCGGGGGGTCGAATCACGGTACTGTGAGTTGGCCGTCCTCGTAATAAACGGGATCACTGCTATTGCGCAGCTCGTTCTTTTATTAAAGAATATACAAGAAACGTAATAGTATATCAAAGATTAAGGGAGTATAACATTCAACACAAATTTCGTCGTAAAATAATTACGGAAAAATCAGGAAACTAACTTCTGGTGCTAAATTGTTGTATAAAAACATATAGTTCTCCGATGTCGAGTTTATTACAGCCTGGATATAAGCACGACGTTGAGGTGCCTAAAACGATTGAAAGATCACAAAATTTGCCGTCGTGTATGCAGTATATTTGCAAAAATTAAGAGCTTGGGGATAGTCCTCTGTATCCTGAGCAATACTCTCGGTGTCCAAGTGATCACGTGTTATCACTGGGCGGCGACATGTTATAGGAAACCCTGTTGAAAAAATAGCGGTAATTATTTGTTTATTCTCACACTTGAATTTAGGATGTTATTCTATAAAGCTGCTTATGCGGTCCTTTTCCCACAAGGTTTTTCTTGTGCCAACAATCTTTATCTCTTTGCTCTCTTAATTCATTTAGTAGCAACAAAATGTGCTCGCTATCTGCATAAGCACAATTAGAAGGCATCCATACCCCTGCTTTGGCTTGCACTTTTTAACCTCCTTAGACTTTTATTGTGGTGCTGCTTAAATAAACGCTTAATTACTCGTGTTCAGGGTGTTCAACTGAAGCATTGATGAAGTGATGAGCTCGGCAAGTCACGAAGAGCATTCTGCACTCCACTAGCTCCCAGAAACGAGCAAGGAAGTCCTGAGTTTGATTCTGTTTGTAATTTGTTAAAAATATTCTATTTAAGTGTGTCCAAAATGGTTTCAAAACAGTTATCCGTAACGCTGTCAAAGGTACAAAAGGTTGTCGATGAGACCTTTAGGCGGATTGAAGAGATGAGTTTTCGATAAAGTAAGCTCCTGGTACCCACCCTAGCATCACACGCAGAGAAGAATACTCGTCACCCTCCAGAAGTTTTTGAAAGAGCATTAAACAAGTAGCCTCATGAAAAGCGTCAAGCTGTTGGTATTCGTCGAGCGCTCCGATGCTCAGTAGGCATGAATGCAGATTTTACTGGCGCCTGTTTGTGCCACTTGATACTTGACACGGTTATAAATGCTCCATGTAAGTGATTGTAGAATGACCTAACGACTATAAATAACTAATCTTCTTTCTCGAGCACTGCTACGAAAGTATCACAGAACTCTCAAATTCAATACTACCACATTTCACTTACTTGAGATTTGTACAATTCAGTCATTCGACGTGATGGGCGTGCACTAACTACATCGTTGTAAGACTTCTTCTTCCTTTCCAACCTCACTCCTACATAATCCGTTATAGGATGAGGAGGAGCTACAAATTTCAATAAAAGTGGTCAAAAAATGAAGGTAACAATACAAATAGTGGCATTCTTCTTTGCAAAAGCTATCTTTAGTAATCATTTAGCAATTATAAATGCAATTATAAGTAACTGAAGAGCGTACTTGGTTCAATAAATGGCGTTGGAAGTAGGATGGTTGCACATTGCTCGGTGATTGTGTGTCGATTGATTAGATAATGTGCAGCGATAATCACTACACATACAATGGCTATTGAAATCCGCGACTTTGTAGGAAGTGTCTTCATAACCCTATTTCGACTAAAGGATATTGTTCAGTAATTCCAAAACTAAATGAAGGAAAACTGGCACGATGAGAGGAATAATCTTACTTGCTCACATTCTACAACTTTTCATTCTAATAATGGCTTTTGCACCGGAAAAAACCTTCCGGCGCTTTTTTGAATTTCGCTCAAAAAATGTTCATAGGTAGAATTTCACACCGAGGAATTATTACATGTTCGAATGTTTTCAATACTTCAGTAAAAATTGTATCAGGTGTAGTTTTTATTACTAATTAAGTAAAGCGGTCCCACTGAAACATGAAGGCTAACGTTCCAAAGTCTCTGTCTTCTTCTTAGCCGGCTTGAATTGATCCGATTGTCAACAACCGTTCTTCCTCACGTTATGCGTCTTCGTTCACTATGAAAGCACATTAAAAATAGTTGGTGTTAAGTCAACGAGACTAAAATGAATGTGAATAGACCTATATTCGTTCGGGAAAAAGGGCCCCACCGGCCTTCATAAAACTTCATTCGAGCGATGCTTCATTCAGGAAGATTCGAAATGATGCGACAACGAAGAACAACAACGCAAAAACGAATGGCGATGGGGCATTCAACACGGATCGGTGGTGCCCTTTAGAATTCGAGGGCCCCGAAATGTTAGCCAAATAAATCCCTTTTATCAACCTTGTTTTAACTAAATCATGTACGAATAAATATGGGAACGGAAGAGTTGGACGAAGTGCACGGCCGAAATGTCAATTGAAATTCTTGGAGTTGCCGAAAACATGCAACCTTGAAGTGTCGCTGGTCTCAAACTAAGGCCATTTGAGATTATATCATATGCGGTTCACCGTAGAGTTTAGTCGTCAATTCTGTATCGAGACTCTAAGGAGAATATTACATCGTTAGCAAACTTGCCGCTGGTATTTGTACAAGTTTCACAAGCTCCTCATGAAGAGTGACCATTTCAGCTTTTAAGTAAGTATCGAAAAAGACTAGTCTACCATTTGTCTTTAAGTTTATGTGCTTGATAAGGTAGTGTTAAGTGAAAGAAAATGTTAATCATCGTTGATTATTGTTGGCAGCAGGCGACCGCACGACGTGGTAGTTGAATACCCGTGATTTCGTTGTTCTCAGGGTCCAAAACATTACTGGAAAGTTAAAAACTTAGACAAATCGATTCTGAAATCCCTTCATTCATGTGAGTAGCCGGCACTAAATTCGTCTTCAAATACCGATGAATTGAGTTTTATGGATTTAAAGCGAAAGTAATGGCTATTTCTAACATTAAATCAACGCATCGTGGTTAATGTTAAAGTTTTCACGTTAGTAGCAAATAATAAAGTTCAACAACTCTTCGTCTACAAAATACAATTTATATTATTCGATTCTTTCGAGCATGCAATACAACTTCAATGGTGCTGCGATATTTGCAAAACTTCGGATCGCAAGTGTCTGCGGTGTGGAACGAAAGCGCTATTACCCTATCCGGGAGCAAATGCATTTACCACCACACCATGCCGGCTCTGCGTTTCGCCTGCCTGTCAGCTAGTCCTGTCTATAACTCGAAAGACCGACTTTTTATGAACCTCGGCATAGATAGTTGATATATTTATTTATGTGATCTTATAAACTGATTTTCTTAAGCTGACGCGAGGTTGGTACAGATCTTCGTTGTCGTTGTCGTTGTCGTTGTCGTTGTTTTTGATGTTATTGAACGATGGCTGACGTTTCGGCGACTTCGCCTTCCTCAGAGCCTGGACGTACCTTATGTTAGAATACTTTTTATTATTCGGTGGAAAAGAAGGTTAAAGTATTAATGAAGATCAAACTTTCAAATAGACGCCATATTGAACAGAAAGGCCACTCACCGTGATGTTACGTGCGGGACGGACTGTTTTAAGAGGGTCATTAGTTGCGTAATCGACAAGCCGTGCATTTCTATTTTCTTTTATGCTCTACGAGGAACTCGAGAATGGCTTGCATTGCGGAGTCATTGGACACGTTGGTATAAAGTGAACTAACATCGAATGACTCCATTATATGCGTGCTTTTTGGTTGCGCGCGCCTTAGGTGATCTAGAAATATTTTGGTGTTAGGTAGATGGGGTGGAATGAATTTTAGCAGCTGGGTTAGGATAAGGTTTAGAAACCACGTTATTCTATCCGTTGGCCCGCCTATACAGCTGATGATAGGTCTAACTTTATATGATGATTAGTTCGTTGATGTAATATCATCAGTTGAGGTAAGCTTATGTGTTTTAATAAGCAAGTAAAGGACAGGGCAAATCGGGTGTTCGTTCTTAAGTTGAGAAATAACTGAAGGCTCTAAACCCGCGGCCTTTGCCGTGCTGACCCATTCTTGATTCAATTTTCGGTACTGATTTCTGTATTCCTTTTCAGAGGATGTTCGATAGAGGGAAAGATTACTGAGGTGCTTCTCTGTTATCCTAATATCCAACTGACTAGGAAAAACTACAAATTCTCCGCCTTTATCACTAATAGAAAGTTTAACAGATTTTGAATTCAAAAGCTCTCTAACCTGGCGCATACCACTTTTTTGTTGGTTTGTGAGGTTGGAGCTTCTTTTTCGTTTTTGGTAGTGATTAAGTATGCGGAGAATTTCGTCCGAAAATAACCGAAATGTAGGGTTAATATCGCTATTTGGTAGCTCTTGTTTAAAGAATGTTCGGGGA